TATGAAAATATTTTTTTAGAAACTTGCATGTCTGCATGTGACATAGCTTGCTCACGGCGTGTCGTACGGTGGGCCTACAATGGACTTCCCATAGTGTCAATCAAATTTAACAACTGACCAATCAGAAAGGGGCTAGAAATATTTTGCTTTTTCACAAATACAATGTGTTGCTTCACGTTTAGTGGTGCCTTAGCAGCAATATCCAATTGATGGGACTTGGGGGAATGGTTCATTAATTCATTGTACTTTGAAGAATGAGTTGTCATGTATGTACGGTAGTTACAGGTCCTTAAATTTACACCCATTGCTTCACAATGGTATTATACTCCATAATGAATGAATGATTCGGTGTTTGCAACTGCCACCAAATTCTACTTGCACTGGATTTTGGCACATTTTTTAAATTGGCTCATTAATTTTTGATTATTATTAAAACCTCAAATTGTGTGTACGGTATATTAGTTGAAATGTTCTGTGTATACATTCTATCAAGGTACCAAACAATAAGTCGGAGTACATCCCCCTGACGACTTTAGAAGATGTGCAGGCCATCAGAGCTATAGCGTTCAATACCACGGGCTCAATGTATGCAGTAGGATCCAACTCAAAGACTCTACGAGTATGTGCATATCCAACTAACATTGACATGTAAGTGACATGTTTTAAAAATATAACATATTGAGTAATTTTTAATTGTAAAATCACAATAATGCATGTACAGTACAATATGCAGTACTGTATTATTGTGGGCTAGCTTTTGGAAATAAATATGACAGTAGTCAAATTGGTAAAAGTAATTCTCATTATTGTAAGTTGAATATGAACACTTGTGTTGTGCTGCTCTTACTAAACAGATAGATGTTACTAATCCAAGGAATTTAACATTTTTGGTTTACATTCTAGTACACCACAGCCACCAAAGCAACCGGAAGTGTTGTTCAAGCGGAACCGGCATCACAAGGGCTCCATCTATTGTGTCACATGGAATCATACTGATGATGTCATCGCTACTGGCTCTAATGACAAACTTATCAAGCTGCTCAGATTTAATGCTGAGAAATGCAATGCAGAAGGTAGTGAGTAGCACCAAATGTATTGCTACTAGTACAGCATGGTATGAATGTAGTTGTTGATAGTAAGATACATGGTGAACGTGATGACAATGTGCATAGAATCAACATTGATGTTGATATGATAATGTTGATATTCAAATTTGTGATGTGGGACTAAAATAAAGATTAATAAATAATAAAACAAACTACTGGCTAAGTGTTTGCCTAGTTTCTTCCAAGAACAACTGTTGAGGTAACAAAACAGAATAAACAAGTGCAAATATGTACAATGTTTAGGTAATGGAAGGTGTAGCATACATTACTCATTATCTGAAGCCTGAAGTATAATACTAGAGTTAGTGTGTGTGTTTTGAATTTATAATTTTACCATAATCAACACTGTGTTAAATGTATTATACAGTAATTATATAACTCTTTATTTGTCTCTGCAGGCCCAGATACTGAATTATCAATGCATGATGGAACTGTGCGTGATCTAACATTCCAGCAAAACAGTCCACATGGAACTGTGTTGCTGAGTGGGGGCGCTGGTAACTGCAGTATCTATGTTACTGAGTGTAACAAGGGAAGGTCACTCCATTCACTTAGCGGCCACACAGGTATGTTGTGAGTGTGTAAGTAAGTTCACACAATCATGCAGTTGACAAAAAGATTATCGCAAAAGTGACATATTTAATGATCATCTGTCATGTATTTTGAAAACCCTTAAAATTCATTCATCAAATCAATGAATAGCACAATTAACCACGGACATGTTGACAAATAAGTCTTTTTTAAGTGAAAGAATCAAATAAGTGTTTTATTTATACAATGTTAAGAAATTCAAATAGCATCAAGGATAAATATCAAAGGTAAATATTCACTTTGGCATGATAAGTATTCTTAAGCTATTCAAAATAAAGAGTAAAGCAAACATAGCACTATAATGACTAGTATGAATAAAAAAAAAAACTTTCATGTATACAGTAGTATGACTGATAAGTATTGGTTTTTAAAATTATATCTTTTTCTTTTTGTAGGTCATGTTCTTTCTTTGTATGGTTGGGCAGGCCATTTGTTGGCATCTGGCTCCGAGGACAAGACCGTCAGGTTCTGGGATCTAAGGTCGCCAAAGTGCATCAACATCGTTGGAAGTCCAGGATCAGACAAAGGCCAAGGTATGCCATCCATCGATCCAACATCCAGTTATAACATATAACGTAGCTATGTGACTATGTACTTCCAACTAGAAGAACATTGTTTTTCGGTTTTTGTTTTTTGGCCATGTGGCTTTAATTATGTTCGTCTATTTTCATCCAGCAGTATACATAGGTACTTAGTATGTGATTGATTTGTTATGTAATTGGTGTGTGCTGAATGAGTTAATCCTGTCCAGACTATCAAATTATATTTGACAAAAACATGTGACATGCCTTGATATGATTTTGATAACATGAAATTATGACCATATAAGGCACATCATGACTATATATGGGCATACAACACAACATTTTATAGTTTAGACAGCTTTAGCACATTTCCTGTAATTGCTTTTGTATGTATTACCCAATTTTCAGGGTAACAGATAAGAACTTTGTTACTATAGCTCTACAAGTTCAGCTGAATAAATTATTTCAAATTTTGTACTATCACAGGTAGTGCTGTTGCGTCAGTGTGTGTTGACCCGTCAGGCCGTTTGTTGGCATCGGGCCAGGAGAATGCCACTACGATGCTGTATGATATACGGGGTGCTCGTGTACTGCAGACGTATCAGGCACATAGTGATCAGATCCGTACCGTTAGATTCTCACCGAGTGCATACTACCTCCTTAGTGGTTCCTATGATAGTAACGTTGTTCTCTGTGATCTACAAGGTATAAATGATTATGTTTACTTAATTAATTTTGTACATATATTTTTGGTTTTTATATGATAACCCATCTCAGAGTTTCATGCATACATTTACAATGTCAAGGCTCATGTAACATATACAATCATATAGCTTATACTATCATCATTCTATAGAGGTTAGTAATATTATACTTTATCCAGTTGCTTATATTTATTTATTTTATTTATTTATTTATTCTTTCTTTATACTGAATACACACTTTCAATACATAGTACAGATTTTTAAAGTGGTTTAGTTCTTAACTACACAAATTTTTAAAAGAAGATATATACACAATATTGATATTTTTAATTTTGACTTTTCGTCGTACTATCTTGGATTTCGTAAGTGGCGGATTTGTGTCTGCTGTTGATTTGGTTAATAAATAAAAATTCTTTTAAAACACAGAAAAAAGGAAAATTTAACTACAAAGTTATGAAATAAAATTAAAAAGAACATTGAATGAAACTCAAGAAAACAATATTTTTATAATATATATGGATATGCAAGGTAAAAGTAACTGTAGTTAAATTAAGATGGTATTATTGAGGATTTGAAATAGTACAGATATTGCAAACTTCAGTTATAATAAGTTTATAACACAATGTCAATATTACAATTTTTGGAACCTATATATGCACGCTCATGTACTGGCTCATTAAAATATGTGCTCATTCATCGTTATTGCTTATTTTCATGTTGGTTCACTTTTATGCTCACATCATATTGATCTTGCCAACAGGTGACCTAACAAAACCTCTGCCAAGTGCAGTAGCTGCAAGGCATCAGGACAAAATCATTCAGTGTCGATGGCACCCGCACCACTTCACGTTCTTAACATCCAGCGCCGATCGCACTGCCACGCTCTGGAACCACTGCAAGCCATAGTGTGTACTACACTCCTTGTCGATTGGCCAACTCTTTCTGAATCAAAAAATCACCTTCCATAGACACAATCTGATGGGACCATGGTATTGTAACCCGTCTACAAACGAATATATCTTATGGAATCCCTAACAAGTACATTCTGATTGGACAATATTGTCATTACTGATCCCTGAACAAGTATATTGGTTAAGGATCACAATGTCAACCGATCTGTGCCGAATATTCTCACTCTTGGGATATCATGCGATGTTTAGAAGTAGTATCAAGCTAATCATGTTCAAACACCATGTTATTGGTTAAGCCTGCTGCACATGAGGGACCTAATTGGGATCAAAACTATGTTTTACTGCTTAAGCCCTCTATGGATGAAGAAATTTAGCTCAGTATCAGCCTTGCATACAAATAATTTAGCTAAACTAGTTTTTATCTTTTAAAGCAGTGAGCAGAATACCTACCACATTTGATGTGTGCACATTCTTCAGGAAAATGTTCAAAGCATTGAATTGACCAAGTAAAGTGCACATTGTTAGCAAGTATGATGTACACAATTTCAAGTATGAAGTATTAGCAAGTTTCTACTTACTGCGATGTAAATATGTATATATTGAAAAAAAAACCTTCCACATTTGAAAATACGACCTTATAAAGGCAGGTAGCTAAGATGGTATTACGATGACAAATGTGCAAGGCAAGAAGCTGAGCTTTTGATAATAGATGTACAAATCAGACAGCTGAGGTAAATTTCCTTATTCATAGTGGAAGTCATACACTAGTAAATGTAATTAATGTAAACAATTGCATTACATTCTAATAGTCAGCAAACGGCTTATAAATGACGATGCCCAGCCAGCCAATCGAGTCAGGATGTTACATTTTAAGCAGAATGATTATGATGGCATCTATTGAGTTGAAGATATAAACTTTGATTTTAATATAGTCACATGTAACAGTAACTTTAACAATTTCTTAGTGTGTGTCTTGTTTATAAAATTAAATAATCATATAGCGAAATATGAATAATTTCGAAATGGGTTACTACTAGGGAATTTTAAGGCAGCTTTGTCTTGCACAACAGTTTCTCAGAGGGGCATATAGAGTTAAAGGTGGCATGCTGCATCATATCAATTGTTCAAAGCTAAGGAAACCAAAAATTCTGACAGCAAGCGGTGAGAATTGCTTTATTGATTGTATAACTGGGTAATTACCAAAGAACTGTGAGGGCAGGCTTTGCTAGGCTTCACATACAATATGTGACTGTGAGGGCAGGCTTTGCTAGGCTTCACATACAATATGCGAGTGGGTTTTTTGTTCAGGGTTCAATTATAATATTCTTCTGATGCAATTTTTTTATTGTGTATTGTTCAAGATGCATTTCTTTTTGGAATTTTTTTTATATATTGGATTATATTTGTGTGCATCAATTTGATTTTTTCAATTTTCGTAGAGTGTAGTTTTTGAAGATTTATCAGAATAGAGTTTTTATAAATCTTGTCTTTCAGAATTGCATGGAAAGCAAAATATTAGTATTTTCTTTGTGGTACATTTCTAAACTTGCCTTTGTGTATTACATTGAAGAGCAGAAAATGGTATATCAGGCAATAGGCCATTCCTTCTACAAGCAAATATGCTTTGAGGGCTAATTTTCAACAAGACATAGTTGTGCAATATTATGAGAAATATTCTCTTGTAAAGTTGTCTGTAAATATGTGTTTTATGTTTTATAGTATTGAAATAGCTATAGAGAAGTATTTCAGATTGTTTATAAGATATTTATTTATAGCTATAGGTTTCAATAATTTTGTCGTGCTTAATTGAGTAGCTGAGCTGGTGTTTTTTTCCATCAAAAATTATTACAGTACATAAATAAAGCTTAGCCGATTTATAATTTTATTATAGTGATAATATGAAAAGTACAAACAGTGGAGGATCCAGGAGTTATTTTTGCGTAGACTAGCTTGTACAGTAACTTTTCTTCCCCTCGTCTGTCTGCAACAGTGTTAAACTAACATCATAGTAACCCTATAAAAATGTAATATCAGATTTAAGACCTGAACCACCCAGAGAACACTCAAAAACTAGTGTGCTAATATGAGAATCATAATAACTATCATTTGCTTTCTATATTTATTTTTGTGACAATTATGAATTTTTGTTGGCTTAAGCCAATTTATGTCCCTTGCGTTTCACAATGTTTATACTGATAATAATGCTAGCAATAGTTTTGTGAACAAATTTAGGTTTTACAAGTGCTGTAACCTGTCCTTCAATAATTGCCTGTTAGTGCTTGCTTCCTTCATATTACCCCACCAACTCAGCTTCTGGTAAAGAAATTATTATAGGCAATACATATTTGTGCAGAAAATGCACAGTTTTTATAACAAATTTGTAGAGAATTCATGAATGACAAAGTGAGAAAGAAGAAAATGATCAAAATGACAAAAATAGTACTTAAAACCTTTTGGTTTATATATGATAATAATGTTTGATGAATCTATCAGTATAAGTTTAACGAGTGAACATTGCCAAGAAAGAATATGTTGGCTGTTTTTTCAGAGCAGAAGGTCATTTATTATTTTGAATTTAAACATTATAGAATACCACAGTCATGTCGTCACAACACCACATAGCACCCCCTGTTGCCAACCAGATGTTGGTTACCGTTCATTACGCCTGAATAGGCTTTCTGGAATAGGCATCTTAAAATCTAATATTTTACCATCACAATGTACGAAAAACACAAAAGCTCGCATTATATTACTGTAGTTATCGAACACACAGTTAATCATCAATTAAAATCTACAAAGAAAAACTAAGATACAACATCTTAATAATTACGTTAGAAATTGGGATCAATGGTGCGTCCGGTTTAATTCATTTTGTATCGTGACGTAACACTGTAGTACTCTATGTGCATGGTACTGCTTTGAGTGAGAAAATTGTGCTGCAAAATCATTTGGTACATCAAAGTATACTTTAAATCCATTCTCTACAGTAGACACTAATTTTGCTAAATCATCTTGATAAGACATGTTGAAGTATTTAAACCAGAAAAGTATCTTTAGACCAGTATTTAATGTCACCTGCCTGTTACATATACATATACTACTTACAAAAATCACTTTCAATTGCCAAAAATGTTGTAACCATTGCCAGGTGTCTTAAGACAATTTTGAATTTTCTATTGGTGTAATTATTTTACAGTAAGCTACTTGTATCTCATAATGATTAAGATTTGTTGATATACTGCTAAAGTATCACTGTAGTAGAATAGTCTGAAGGTTTCCATCAACTATATAAAATGGGCTTGTAAACCTGTAGCCGTATGTAGGTGGCATAACTGGTGCTTGCATTCTGTTTAATTGAGGAAAGAATAATCCCTATTCAAAAGCGGACCAAGGATTCCATGTCTTTTTATTATTTGAATCTAAATATGAGATATATTTAAAAATGCTGTATTTGGTTGAAATATGCTAGCCTATGCATAGATGCTATCTGGAATAATTCTATGCATATCAATGATGTGATGCTTTGAAGGGAATAAAAAGAGGCTACAGTAAAACTGAGTTGTTTTTTATTGCTTTATTTTCAAGCACCTCATAATAGACTACATCATGAATACACACATTTTCATAGTTCCAGGAGAAATCAATGACCCTTGACTATGATTAGGACCAAGTTCTGTTTTTGAAAAATAACATGATAACCCTCCTTCATCTTCTGTTTTAATTCCATCTACTATGGATGTATCATATAAATATCCAATTGACTGATTGATTAATAATTTCATAACTTCTTGTCCTATACGAGTACATGTATGTAACTCCCCGAAGCCATGTCTTATGACTGAACTTCTGAAATATCATTGATGAACACACCACTTTTTGCACATAAAACATTGCTAAAACAATTTGTATAAATATAAATACTGATATCTCATTTTGCACTAGCTACCATGTTGAGTCCATTGTCCTTCTTTTGAATGGCCTCTCACCTTCTCTTTCCCTATACCGGTCATCATCATCCCTTCGATCATCTTTCCTTCGGTCCCTACTTCTTCCATCCCTTCGTTCTCTATCTCTTTCATCTCTCATTCTCTCTTTACTTCTCCCTTGGGTTTTATCTCTCCTTTCATTCTTTGATGGTTGTTGATCCATGTGAACCTTCCCCAGAAGCTGCTTCTGATGTTGAAGCTGGGGAAAGTCATCTACAAGGAAAGGAAATAAAGGTCAAAGGAGGAACAATCTGGAAAAACATATAAAAATTGTTGAAATACAGTAGAACCATTATTAACACCTTCTGTACCCAAAAAGTGTTCCCTTAGTAGCGTTTCCCCCAGAATAAGGATTGGCCATAGTATTAAATATACTTACCCTTGTTTCGTACCTGAAAAAGTGTCCCCTTAATAGGGGTTACCAAAGGAGGAGTTCTACTGTATGCAACATAACTATATAGAGGTCTCCCTCTATATTAAAGACCACTTTTCTCTGGTCCCAAATTAACAAATGTCTTTTATCTGTATTATTCTAATTAGAGACCAAAGATGCTAAAGATCATGAAACCCTGGTCCCAAAAGTGGTCTTTAATTGGAGGGAAACCTGTAATTTAAAAAGAAATTTACTTACAGTTCTCAAGGGCATTTTTTGCTGCAGCCATCTGTGCATCTTGAACACTGATAAGACAATATATTATATTAATAATAACGTTAATAGAAATAACATTAATAAACATTAATACCTGTAACATTTAGGTATTGATAATAGCCAGACAAATGAAGTTATTATGCATTTCCACGACTGCAACAACAAATATTTTACAGCAAGCAGAGATTTACTGCCCCGTACAAATTCAAATTGTTTTTAAGACATTTTCATCTGAATTTGCCAGGAAAGGAAAACTCACTTCGAAGCTGTGCCAGTTCCAATACGTTTGTTCCTAAAATAGACAGCAACTGTGTAACGGCGCGAGTTGGTCGGACCAGTCTGTTGAATAACTCTAAAATATAAAAAAAATAAATATTTCAGTCATTTTAAAAGTTGAACAATATGAATAAGATAATTCAGAGACTGTTTTAAACATTTGTTTTTAATTTTGTAGAACAAAATTTCAGTTTGCCTTTTCATTTTCTTTTGGGAAACTTTTTAAAACAAAAGCAGAAAAAAAAATTATATATTGTGTCAATTTGTATGGTTAGAAAAGTTTTTTAAAAAATAGTGTATTCCTTAATAATTAGAAATGCTCTTGTATCTGCAAAAACCCTCTGATTGGACTGTTATTATTTATGACTTACTTGTAGGTTGGTAGTTCAGGTTCTTTGTTTTCTTGTCGTAGCGTCAGACAGCACTGTTGAAGCTGTGACTTTGAGTCGTTCCAATCTTGACTTCTAATAAATTCCTGTTAAGATACAAGTAAGTCATACTTAACAGGATTAATTAATATTGTAAAACTAATGTCATAAATGATACTTCCACCTTATCAGATGTACCATGGGGTATCATGATGATCAGTGATCAAGTCTTGATTCTGTCATCATTTTAATGGGATACTATCATGACTTCATGGGGTACTATCATGCAATTCTTCTTGATCCTGTCAATCAGCCAAGCAAACAGAACACAGACATTATTAGTAGCATACCCAGGGATGTAGTTATGTTGAGCACAGGTAGGTGGGGGCCACCCAGCCTTTAAGTTTCCCCCAGTCTAAAGCTAATTTCATGGCCCTCCACCAACTCTTATTAACCCACTTTTCCATCCTTAAAATCCACTCCTATTATTTGGAGTTTACCAATGTTATCACCCACGCACCCTTAAAATGTCTGTCATCTACCCTTAGTTTTCTATAGTTCCAACCCTGTATACCAGAACCAATAATTATCTATTACAGTACTATGACATTCAATTCTATTTCCATACATGTATTTAATACACACAACTACAAATAGCTGGATAACTAAATTATGAAGCATACTTTATAAATTGATATGTTGTTATCGAATAAAAAAAAAAGCAAGCAAATCTCACACTCAGTCTTGGGAAGAAGCACACTTCACAAAACACCTTGATGAACTCAAGTCCACGGTCAACATAGAGAGCACCTAAAAATGCTGGTAAAGATACAAATAACATTACAAAGGAATGCTGGTACAAGGCATTGTGTGCTACAAGTGTTTTTAATAGCACCTTAAAATGTTGAGAACGATTTAAGTTACTGATCTTTCACAACCTTAATTAGGTGAAAATTGTACTTTAGAATTATCTCAGTACATCTACTTCTTTCTACTTCTCAGTCCTTATTTCTAGGCCAATTTCACACATATCACCTACCTTCTAGTAAATCAGCTAGTGTCTTAGTAGGCTGTGGTCCGGGTTTTTTACTCCGTGTATCAACATCAATAATGTAGTTCTCTAGGCCTAACTCACGGGCCACTGTTGCTTGGGTTCGGTTGTTTACAAGAGAACTTCGGAGAAGCTTTAAGAATAGAAATTTAAAAAGTACTTAAATAATACTGTACTTAGCCTTAATAGGTGTATCGTTTATCTTCCTTAAGTTCCTGGAATTCAACTCAAAATTGATTTGCTTTAGTATGCCATCAAGAGCCATTATCTTCTAAACATACAATACAGTATCAGTACATATAATTTATAGGACTTGTATTAAGATTAAAATACCCCCACTTCTAAGCCTTTTTTATTGCTGTAAGATAGTTTCAGCCTGTATTTAGCTGATTCCTGAGCACAGGCTAGCAGTTCATCGAATAATGTCCACTAATGCTATTAAGTGAAGGTACCTTACCGATAAATGTCCTTCATGGTGGTCGGGAAAGTGCCTATAAAGGTAACAGGACGTAATGATCTGGAGGACGGAATCTCCCAGGAACTCCATACGCTGGTTGTGTCCCCTAAAAAATAAAAAACAATCATCATAATCTATCGTTTTTAATATTTTTACAACAATCCTCACTAAACTTTTTAACAGGTGGTGGTGGTGGTGAACTGTGTAAATACATTTATGTATTGTAACATTTTTTATTGTATTAAGTGTCTTGTTTTATATTGTACTGTATGTAAGTTACTTTTACGAATGCACTGCAAGAGTGTGTGCGCTGTTTGAAAAGTGTCGTTTAAAATAAACTTGTTATTATTAATTATGCAATTAAGTTTTATATATTGTGTAAATCTGCTTAACTGCATTATAAATACGTTTTGTACAAAGGTTATTATTTCTTTTGGTTAATAAAAATATATATTTTCAATAAATTGATAATTTATGTTCTATTTACAACTATACAATTAGATCCCTGTAGGCTACATACTACATATGAAAGAAAAAATTTAGTTGTTTTCAAAAAAAATACACTGAAGATTCATTGCATTTTTTTTAGCAAGTTGAACGAATCAGTAAAGAATGAATAAAACAAACTATAACAATTTAAATTAATTATCAATTATTAAATTGCAGTTTATTTAATTTCTAGCATAATTACTATAAGCTTTAATCACACAGAATTCAACTAGACATGGTTATTCAAATATAAACCTAAAAAACAAAGGTTATCAAAATAAAAATTCTGTATTAAATAATATGAATAAGAACAGATCAACATTAGCTTATTCAATTCAATTGTTTTAATTGTAGGTTTAAAATCTTTAAAATGACACTAATTATAGTACAAGAAAAACAAATTTGCAGGATACACATTTATTTACCTTGTAAGATTGTTGTATCCCACAGTTCTTTGGGTGAATGCACGAGCTAGAAGGCGAATATTTTTGAAATAGATACCAGTTGCATCTTCAAATTGATTGAGTTTCTATATAAAATAATGTTTTTATCATTTTTTAAGTGATAAATAGCTTTAATGTGTTGCATAATTAGGAGTAGGTTAAGATAATTAGTGGCAGATCCAGGAGGGTGGCTTAAAAGTCAAGATTTTCATAAGGAATACACAATCTGTACACCCAAAATAGGGAAAGACACCCAAGCCTCTCTACTCAGGTCCTTGATTTGCTTTTTACACCAACACTCCCCCCCCCCC